GGTCATGGTTAGGGTTAGTATTAATCAGTCACAGCACAGTAGGACTAGGCTGAACACTCTTGGGGAAGAATAACACCTGCAGGTGAGAAGCTTAAAATTAGTCGCTATGATACTAGAAAATACATCAAAATCTCTGAACCTCACTGTCAGCCGTCAGAGTTGCATTGTGTGTAACATGGGCGACAGGTATTGATAAGGTAGAAGAAGAAGATCTCTGGTTCTGTGGCATCACTTTTGAACTGTCCATCATGAGTCCAATAATATTATAGGAGTAACTTCCTGTGTGTTTGGGTCACCAGGAGAGGGGAAGAAAAGGATTTAAAGTATGACAGAATGTACGGTACGAGTACCAGAGAACACAGACAGTGTGTCATAGTTTCTCCAGGCCAATCAGAGGGGGATTGACAGTGACAAGAGCTCTAATAGACACATAAATACAATTGGCAGTGACTATACTTGGAGGCAAATAGGGCAAAGTGAAATAAACAATGAGCACAAAGCCTGATTTTTCTGCTTGAACTCTGGCTGTACAGCACAGTACATGCAGTGCCTGCCTTCCTGCCCACTGTCCCTCTGTGGCAGCTCAACACATTGAGACCGGTGTCTTCTCTATAGATCCTGCTGTGTGTCTGGCCTGTTCAGTGGCCCACTCATCTGTCCCAGTAGCCGAGCAGCAGCGGCAGAATGACTGAGCCCGTTGTGCCTCGGCCGGTCATGTGACAGCTCCGTGTAGCTGAATGACTTTCCCCCCGCAGCCTCGGTGCCATTATGTTTTATTGGAGGGGGCTGCAGATGAAAAGAGAGAGTCAGCTATCCCTCCGGGGCCAGGGGCTCCAGCGACTCACTGCAAAGCCTGCTGGGAGCCCGTCGCCATGACTGCATCGGGCAACGGGGTGGGGGGGAAGCAGAGGAGAGGAAGGAGGCCACAGAGCGGACGCAGACATGCAGAGTAGCCAAATGGCAATTTTCTACTGGTAAAGAAGACTTAAATCACATGTTTTACTCACACACTGAGGTCAGCTTGAATATTTTGGGATACCCTCACAGCTCTTATACACAGATCCCCAAAATAGACCTGTGAGTGAAAAAGCAGTTTTGTTTTCGGCTGAATATTTGAATACTATAGTAACAGTTGTTTTTAAAGGCACTTTCTGACCTGCTGAATTGAATTTTCAGAATGAGTGCACAAAGGTGTATGATGTCATTTAGGTGATACAATAACACCACAGACTTAACTGGAAAGGAAGAGTGTCTCATCCTGTTGTCCTCATTATCTTTGTTTTTGGTCTCTTTCTCATTTCCTTTATCTCTTCTTCTTCTTTGTCTCTGTTTGTCCTGTGTTATCTTTCGAGAGACAGAAAGGCCAACGCCGTCAGCACTTTGCTTCATTTTCAGCACCTCACACAGTCCACCACCTCACTATCTACATCCGCGTCTCGCCATTCAGCTGTTACGCTGGGGGATTTAAATTAGAAAGTAGAGTTTTTAAAAATAGCAGGTGGTGAGAGTGTGTTTGTGTGTGTGTGGTCAAGAAGGCAGCTGCTGTACCATGACACTGGCTGGTAATATCCGCAGTGACAGTTCTGTGAAAGCATATTCTTTTGCAATGCCAAATAACAAGCTGCACACAAACTAATGTATAGTTTTCAGGTTGTTTCCCATCATGCCCTGCTTCATATGTATTGATTTTGTGATTATGAAATGAGTTCACTTTCATCAGGCTAACTGTTCAGTCTGTGGAGGTCTAATTCAACCAATAACAGGAAATGATGTGTAATAGCCCCCCACATACAACCACTGTCAGCAGCAGCTTTCCACGTGGGTGTCTGCTGCTGCTGCAGATCAAATAGTTGCATCACGTTGCCGAGGCCTGCATACACTTGCAGCCCCGCCGCCGCTGTGCTCCAGCAATCAGTGAAGCCACAGAGAGACAGATTAAATTAGATTAGCGGGGCTGAGCTTTAAAGTCAAATCAGCAGCTAATGGGTTCTAACACATTTGGCAGTGGTGACAGCGCGTCTTTTGTAAATAAAGGGCAGTTAGGAGGCGCGCCATGCAGTTAACCCCGGCCCTCCTGCCACACAATGACTCCATTGTGTCATTCTACTGTCAGTCAAAGAGCTGGCAGCCTCTGTAAAGTGTATCCACGCCTGGTGGAGATTTATCTTGTAAATAAATGTTGCCTTGTAGTGTGTCAGATACGTCCTTTATGGTTTGGTTCCCTGCACTTTTTTCCCTCACAGTTGTGGGATTTACAAAGCACTTATTGTGCTGTAGGAGTCAGTGAAGACTCGCAATGACAGCATCAGATGAATGCTAAAATTACTAAGTAGACTGTTGTCGCTTAGGTTTGGGCAGTATCTATTATTTCATACCTTTCTGACATTTCACAGAGGTACGTGGTATATGACAGTGTTTGTGTGAAAAAACAAACAACCAGGAGAGGAGGCGGTTGCATTTAGAATAAAATGTGATAAGTTTATGAAATACAATAAATACATCAGTGTAGATTAAACCAGTGTTTGGCTTGTGATCCTTTACAAAGAAGCAGTGTATTTGGGACTCCTATCATATTGCAGATGTGTGTTTTTATCCCACCTCTATTTATGCTCATTTTTAGTTTGTGTATGAAAAACCTGAGTGGAAACACCAGAAATTCTTGTAAAGAAGTAGAAAAAATACAGTTGAAACAGTGCATAAACCATGACTCACATGAAGAATGTGACTCAAATGTGCACTGAAGATAGGTTCCACTCTGATGAAGAGGTGGACAAACAAAGATAGGTGTCATACTTTTCCTCCATTTGAGGTTTGATTTGCACTCTTTTTTTCTTATGTCATCTTGTTCTGCTTCTGCTTTGGTTTAATGGCACCCAGCTGAAGACATGCAGAGTAGCCAGATGGCAACTGTTTATCACTATGTGCCCTACTCTTAATAAACAGTAGTGGATGGAAATTCACATTTAATTTTGGATGGCAACTTGACGTATGACTTATGACTTGACTTATGACGTATGACTTGATGTGAGCTGTTCCAGGAAGTTTCCCCCTTTAGCCTCCCCCGTGGTTTTATTTAAACACCTGTTTGATAACTAAGGAGGTTGAATTATTCTGTGATTTCACAAAAAGCAAAGATTGGAAAAAAGTTCTTCTTTGGAGGGGCCCGACCCCACAGGACTAAACTAACTAACTGTATGTAAAGTGGAGTCCTACACGGATCCAGGCCTGCAAACTCACACCCTCCCGCACCCATAATGCTCAATACCAGATCCGATCCCGCAAACTCACCCTGTGATTAAACACATTGTTTTCAGGGTAACCACGGGTCCTTAAAAAGTCTTAAAATGTCTAGCAAAAGGTCTATAAAGTATTGAATTGTCTTTCATTCAGATGGTTCTTAAATGTCTTTTAGTCATGTCATTGCAAGATCTTCAAGTGGTGATGCTACAGGAAACGTGATTTTAACAGAAGGGAAACTGTTCAGCGAGGGGAAGAGACTGTGACATAACACCTGTATGCACCCAGTGCCCCTGTTTTTGCCCCTTCAATGCAGGTCACACAATGAGTCCACATTGTTAAATGAAGAGAGTATCCACAGAGAGTATCAGTGTCATTTTACCTGACTGTACATTCTGAAATGACATCAATGTGTTTACTTTGAAAGAGTATATTTTCACTTTTGATGTGTATTTCCATCATAAGTTTGGTCTTGAATTTCAATTGAAGTGGTATTAAAAAGGTCTTAAAAAGTTTTGAAATGAACTTGTGTATACCTGTAGACATCCTGGTTTTGCCGTTACGTCGTTTGGCGTAGTGCATCCTACTATCCCGTTCAGATGTACAGTGCACTTGCTCAGTCGGCTCCTACTTGTTATTGATGTAATGCAAAGTCGGTAACCAATTTTGCAGCAATCATCTGTTCACGTATCCAAACTGCCCCGTTGCTATCAATCAGCGGCATCCTCACCTCTGGGATTACGTTTTGTCTTTCGTCCTCTGCGTATTTTTTCAGTCTGCTGTCTGTGTTTTTACGTATTACTCTTAGTTCTTTTACTTTAAGTGCATCTCCCACCACTGTTTCTGTTTTATTTCTGCTCCTCAGTTGCCGCACTTTCTCTCCCTCACAGTGCTGAGACTTAAAAAGCACGTATTGTGATGTAGGAGTTATTGAAGGCTCTCAGAGAGTTTGGAACCTGAAACAGTATTCATCTATATTTCCTAATACTTTTGACATGTCTGATAACCTTTTACTGCCTTTTTTATTTTACTGAATGGGTTTGTTTTGCCAGAATGGGTATATTGCACTCTTTTCTTCCTGCCTGTAAAGCACACAACATGCATTTTATAACGATTTTGGACATGAAATGAAAAGATTATTTTGTCAAGTCCGCTGCCAGATGGCATCGAGTGTTTTTTTTTTTTTTTTTTTTTTTTCCAAGCCTGCTTGTGATGCCCTACATTTTAAAGCATCTCCTCATTCACACCTGGAGAAGTGAATGAATGGATTTCTAAAATCTACCTGCCTGCTGGAGAGGGAGGGGAAAAAAACTACAGAGCGGTGAGACGAGGCCATCACACAGGCTTTTGATTCAAGCTGGCAGCTCATGTATTCTTTGCAGCAACCTGTTGTTTACTAATTGAAATATTACGCTCACAATGGGGACGTGTTTCTGTGTCAGTCAGGTGAGATTTTTTTTTGTTCTTTTAAGTGGATTGAGGTCATTTATTCCAGCTGGACAAATCTGTGCTCATCAGCCTCCTTCACTCCGTCTTTTATCACACTGCCTCATGTTTCATCACCATGATAATAGGTCAGAAAAGCTGTGCTAATACAAGTTGAGGCTGTCAGTCCCTTGGCGTCGTCCCAAAGCATTCTGGGAAACATTTTCAAGACCCATTTTCGCAAAGAAGCGTGAATGACGTTGGCTGGCACATGCTGTTGATATTCATGTTTTATTGAATGGGACGATGAATAATTGAGCGTCTCTGTGTCCCTGCAGGGCCTCTGTTTTGGCGGCGCACAAAGCAATGTGGAGGAAATAAAGAAAATCCTGATACGCTGAAAACCAGAGGTATGACTCTTCACACTCCACTGGACTCTTAACACTCATCTGTAACCTCACACAAACACCCTTACGGATGTATTCAGGCGTGTTTGCTTGCACGGACGTACATCGCCGTGTGACAATAACCTCGTGTACATGCTGACAGCAGATGGACTGCTCATTCTGGAGGATTTTCCTTGTCTCTAAGTGCATGTACAGTAGCAGAGCAAGCACACACACTCATGCATTAAACCACACGCAGATACCAGCTGGCCTCCACTAGCTGAGATTGTTTGCCAGAGGCCAGCCTGCTGTCCCAAGTGCATACACATACCTGTGGTGCATTAGCGTGGACTGTATATTCTATACTGGGCAGCATGTGCGCAGGTCCCTCTCACTGGAGCAGTACATTGTTGATATTTCAAGTTGACCTACAGAGCAGGAGATGCATCCAGCTCAAAGCTAAACTGTTGTATTCCTTTATATCTTTATACAGTTGATCTGACCCATCAGACTATTTCTGCTGCAGCCATTTTTCATCCGCAGTGCAACCAGTAAGGTCAGCTCATACACGCCATTGGGGGTAATGTGAGGACAAGAATGCTGCAACTCAGCCACCCCACCCCCAACCTCAAAACACACAAAAACACACCCACACACATGTTTTTCTTTTTTCTTTTTTTTTTCTTATCCCAATCCCATGCAACACATTCCCAAATTTGTTGGTTATTTCCTAATCCGAGTGTGAGCGTGCCGGGTCCCTGCTAGGCTAGAGTGGAACACGACGGCACTGATGTCAGATTAGTCATCAACAACTAGCAGCAGCGTCTGTTCTGCCTCCTCAACTCAGAGCCACAGCTGTTCACAAGTACCTGAGTCCAAGGACAGTTTGTCAGAATTTTGTAATTTTGTAAAATGAGCCCAGTGTTGCATTAACAGATGTGCACTTTGTCACCGTGACAAGCATGGCTGACAAATAGGCAGGAGATTGGGATTAAAATGAAAGCGGAGAGAGGTGAGCATACATCATGTGATGTCAGGGGGATAATGTACTTTTAATTCTGCCTCTGATCTGAGTTTAGTCCTCAAATCATGCCAACAGGTTCATATTTTTAGTAGAGCCTTTGATTTAACTATGAACTGATCTGAACGTTTAGTTGTCTTAATTACCTTGGGTTTAGTTGGTCAATAATTCAGGTCAGTATTTCAGTATTGCTTCATCATTACAAAATACTCCAACCCTAAAAAATGAAATATAAAGTATAGTTGAATAGCATATTTAACACAGTTAAGTGACTGAAACTTGCTAGGAAACTATGAATGGTTCCAAATGATAGATTTAAATGACATTTCCGGCTCTGGTTTCTCATTAGTGTTTGCTTGTTAATTCAGGGGCTAACCCGACTAGCGTGGTTTAGCTAGCAGACCTCAGTCGTCCCAAAGCTGTTTAGGTGGATCTCTCATGTAAGAAGTTATTTTCTTCCATGTGCAAAGATGTAGACCTGATCAGACATTATGAAGCTAATATGGCTGTAATTATCTGGTTCATACAGTAGGGAGGCACTGAACTGAAGGATGTTGTGTATTATACCAAACGTCCGCTGGTTCCTCAGATCAGTCTGATGGGTCACCAGATGAGAGAGAAAGATGGGCTGAAACTGTAAGACAACAATTCAGCACAACAAATGCAGATGCTTTTATGCAAGGCTCCCTAAATGGTTTGATGAAAGCTGTGTATATCATTTACCATGACCTTATCTGTCACCGGATCTCAACCCAAGTGAGATCTCAACCTGTGTGAGATTTTGAAGCAACATGTTATAGAGCACTCTCCACCACCATCATCAAACAGCAAATTAGGTAATGGTTTTTGGAAGAATGCTGTTCATCCCTTTAGTAGAGGACCAGAGACTGGAAGTATCTATGACGAAGAGTATCGAAGGTGTTTTGGAAGCTCGTAATGGCCTGACACCTTACTAAGACATAAGCGTGAAGGTTTACTCGTAAGGCTTAGACACTTAGACACAAACTGTTATTTTTGTCACGAGTACGAGTACGTAATATAACACAGTGAAAAAGCATCATCATTTTTTGGAACAAGGTTGAACTTTCTGAACTTTCCCCCCGCAAATAAAGGCATCAACCAATCACGTTGTGTGGAATGACAACAGCACTGAGGCTCTGTAGTCCGAACAAAGACACCAAACTTTATTACTCCTTTCAACCTTGACAAAGGCGACTCATATCAGATCCTTTTATTACGTTTTTACCTTTCACAATAAAAGCCTTAGACATATGCCCTGTGAAACTGCTTACTAGAGGGAACTCAAATTCACCCAGAGCATTTTGCTAAAAGGAAACTCAGTAAAATAGCTAACAGTAGCTAAGGCTATACAACAGCTCAGCTCGGACAGACTTCCAGATGCTGTGGATCAAACGGGATCTTGCTAGTTAGTGTCACAACTGTCATAAATTCGCAATGCTGCCATGAATAGTTTTGATGTAAAAAATTCACAGGGGAGTATTACACATGTTCATGTCATTTATTCTTGAAAGTTTATCCCTGTAAAGGTCTCTAACCTCAGGAACACAATACATATCGCTGAAAAAAGACTGCGACTCACTGACTAAGGCAGTTAATGCTGCTTCTTTCAGTTGTCACCCATCTGTACAAACAGCCAGCAGCCAGGCCTCATCACACTGTGAAGGTCAGCACAAGTCAAGAACCTTCCGTTCTACACAGCATCCATTTATGAGCTTCGCTTGTTCCGAGAGTTATTTTGAGGCCAAAGAGATGTCCATGTCTGGCCTAGTCAGAGGCATTTCACTCTGTAGCTTCCTCTTCTTGAGTGTGAGCGGAGCCTCCAACCATCCAAACCCAGCCTGCTGACAAAGAAGGCACATTGTAAAAAACAAAACAAAAAAAACAAGCTGAGCAACCGACAAACAGCTATAAATGGAGAGGAGGATTTTTTTGGTAGAACTCATCAATGGGTTAGTGGAAACAAGCTGAACAAGGGAGTCTTACAGGAAACCAGAGTCAGCTGAGTATCCAACATTCATAGCAAGTGTATTCATTATGCAGGCTCAGTCATCGCTGCGCTAATAGCTCCTTTATTATGTGTGCTCCAGTTTCCTATGGTGCTCCTGCATACTGCTCGGAGATGGGGCGGGCAGAGCGGGCGGCTTGGTATCACAGTTTTGCGTGTGACTCAGCTATTATTTTTTTTTCGGTGACAGAGAAGACATGCCACAGTACACAGCAAGCGTCAGAAGAAGCTCTGCAGAGCTGCAATGGTAGCACATCAAGAGCAGCCTCGCTGTGGGAACGTGGAGCAGATGTATGCATGCGTGTGTGTCAGTGTGTGTGCTTCAGAGCTCTCGCTGGGTGGGTGGTATTGTAGGCTGGTGAGAAACAGAAAATGAGTCACCGATTCCAATCATGTTTTCATGCTAACACTTCACTCTGCCTCTCTGAGAGTTTCTGCGTTGTGCAGGAAGAAGAGCTAAACAGCATAGTGGTAATTATCCTCACATTATATCCTAGACATTGATATTCATTGCTAGAATCATTCGCAGCCATGAGACAAACACATACTTGTGTTCGCCTCTTGCCTCCCCGCAGCTCCAAAGCCGACTGTTCACCCTCTCCTCCTCACAGCCCGTACCTCCACGATAATGACTGCGCCAGTGTGGGCTGTGCAACTATTCACTGAAATGTCAGCGTTGCCCTCAGACTGTGGCTCCATTGTGGTTCTTGAGTCCTCAGCCTGATGGTAAGGAGAGGCAGTCAGTGGGCAGAAGTGGTGCCGGTAATGAACCTAGTTAAGCTCCACTCCATTATATTGACACATCTGGTGGCATTTTTCTTCTGCATGCTTTCCGTCCTCCACCTAATTAGAGTGATCTGTATAGGATCTGGGCTGCAAACTCGAGTGTACCCACCATAGCTCACACAGGATGTACTGCACTGTGTGTTGTCGGCTCTCTGTGCTTGTTACTGAGGCCGCTTGAAAAGTTAGCGTGACACATCGCCAGCCGTCACCAGCAGGTTCTGATCACAGAGCGACCCCCCAGTCTTCCTGTGGCCATTTGATGGCTGTTAAGTGTCCTGCTTCATGGAAAGAGCTGTCTTGACCATCAGCTTCGCTCACGTCAGAGCACTTTCTTCCATCTTTACCATCACTGCACAGTGAAGGAGTGAATTAGCAGCAGCAGCAGCAGCAGCAGCGGTGGTGCTCGGCCCCACAGAGAGACGTCAGCTGCAGGAATCATCAAAGTGCCGCTGTGGTGCTCTGCATCCTCAGTCAACACTGCACACTGAGATATCACTCTGTGCCTGCTAGCACTGACAGCAGCACTGCTCCGGGAGGCAGAAACCATATCCATCAGTGACATGTTGTATGGCAGTGTGTTTGTCAATGTTGATATCATTATTTTTCATCATGGAGATACACATGTAAAGGAAACACCCACTGATTAAATGGTTTATTAATGATGTAGAATGTGTTTAGGAATAATTTCACTCTTTTTTTCCTGGTGTGCAGATGGGTAACATAAATGATATATAAAGTGTTGGTTATGTAATTGGTAAATCCACAGAAAATTAATCAGTAGTTATTAGGATAATCGTGAAACAATTTTTTTAAAGCAAAAATCACTGTTTTTTTGCTTTTTACTCTGGTTCCAAATGTGAATATTTGCTGGTTTCCTAGTCTTCTGTGATTATAAACTGAATATGTTTGGGCTTGGAACTGTTACCTTGGGCTCTTTTAAAGACTCTTTAGAGGAGATTTTCAAAAATAACAGCAGCAAACACCTTTTTGCTATGTAAAGATATAGTGGGGTAATGGCATCCAGAGCAAAAATGAAGTCACACTCCCTCTGTGTGTATTATGATAGGGTTGCCAAACAGACTGTGCATGCATGTGAGTGAATATGATTCCCTCTAGCTAATTGCTCTGCACTGTGCTCACGTACCGTTGATGACGCTGTCCCGATCCACAGTGGCAGGACAGCCTCCAGTT